TTTAAAAAATTAATGATATAAGATTTTATGGAATCGTGAAATCCTGTTGGTCCTCCTTAGAGTCAGGAGTACTGTGGGCGTGTTCAGGCAGGAGTGCCTGGCGGGGCCACACCCAGAGTCGCGCGTGGGCTGAGGGCGAAGGTGGCCAGATAGCGTGATGGCCGTGTTGGGCGGCGTCGCCTCCACAGGTGGAAACTGTCGCCAGGGTGTGATGTGTGTTCGACAGCTGTGCCTTCAATGTAGTTTTCCCTCTCTAAGATTAGTCTGGCCACGAACCCCTCCGTCCGTGTCCGTGTTGGTCTGGGGTGTTCCTGCGTGGTGGCGTGTGCGTGCGTTGGTGTCCGCGCGAGCAAAGTACTTATTTCGACTTTGCTTGCGAGTGAGAATGATGAGACGGGGACGAGTGTTTGTGTCTTATTCCTGGGGTCTAGTGTAATGCGGTCATCTGCACGGGCGGCGGGTCTGTGTAACTTGTGGTGTGTTTCCTCCACACGCCCGTGCCTTTGCAGCCTTCCGTATCTCACTTGTCTGCGCTGAGACTTGACGAAGGGAACTCCCCTCCTTTCCACAGATATGTAAGAATGTGCATAAATCCACGACTGTGTGTAATGTTCCCAAGGCTCCGCGCGTTCCTCCTAAGCACCAATCGAAGCGTCTAAGAAAATCCCGAGGAACATCCACCTCGCTGAAGGCCCACAGCCCACAGAGGACCCGCGGCGAGGACGAGCGGGGACGAGTATAATCCACGAGTCCCAGGAGTGTTCACCTACCCCTGGCGGCGACGAGGGAGGCACTGTGACACCCCTGGGAACTCGCGGGTATTTATGCCCCACGCCTCACCTGCCTCCCCACCCACCCCACTGACACTCCCTCCCTCCCCCTACCCACTCCCTTTGACCCTTCCTCCACCCTCTCCCGTTCCCACTCTCCTCCCCCTTCCCCTTTAACCCTCCCCACCTTACCCCCTTCCTTCTGTCACCTTCCTGCACCCTGACGTAACGCCCGCCCCGCCCACTCCCTCCCCACCCACCCACCAACGGCACTGCCTCCACACCCATATGACCCACGCCTTCCCTTCACCTGAAATTACGCCCGCCCCTCCCCCTGTGCCTTCTAGCTAAAACGCGTCTACCCCTCCCCGTCTCTCGCTCCTTCCTCAACCCCTCTGCCTCCGCCTCACGCCGCTATCCTTTCCTATCCTATCCCATCCTATCATTTCCTATCCTCTATCCTTCCTCGAGGTTACGTCTTCCACCTCATTTCCCGTTTTATCGCGATGCCTACGAATGTACTCTGACAACTGGTTTACTCTTGTTTCCTAACTTAACTTGAACAGTTTTATCAGGAAAAGTAGGAAGGAGGAGGAGGAATAATAATAATAATAATAATAATAATAATAATAATAATAATAATAATAAGTAGAAGAAGAGGAGGAGAAGGATGAGGAAGAAAAGGAGGAAGAAGAGGAAAAAGAGGAGGAACGAGGAGGAGGAGGAGGAGGAGTTTTAGGAAGAGGAGGAGGAAGAGGAAGAGGAAAAGGAAGAGGAGGAAGAGGAATAGGAGGAGGAAGAGGAAGCGGAGGAGGAGGAGGAGGAGGAAAAGGAAGTGAAAATGAAAAGTAAGAGAAAGAGAAAGAAGAGGAATCGGAGGAGAAAAGAATAATAGAGAAATGGACGCACCAAATTCTGACTCATAATTGCACCTGTCCCTCCACCCCCCACCCCCCTCCCTTCCCTCAAGATACCTGCATGTCGTCACCTTGTTTCTTGGCAGATCCGTCTTGCCTTGCTCCTTCTCCTCCTCTTTTGCATTATCTGTTCGTTTACATGCCCCTTCCCAGCCCTTGTTTTCTCATCGATTCTTATTCCTTATTTCATTTTCTTTTCTTTTTTTATCTTTCTCCCACCCTTTCTCCCTCTTATTCTTTCATCAGAACTCTTTTCCCCCATTCTCTCGCTCTCCCTTTCCTTCTTCATCTTCATCTTCCTCTTCCTCTTCCTCTTCCTCTTCCTCTTCCTCTCCCTCCTTCTTCCCTTCTCCTCCCCCTCCTCCCTCCCCCCTCCCCCCTCTTCCCCCTCCCCTTCCTCCTTTCCCTCCCCCCTCCCTTCCCCCCTCACCTGTCTTCTGCCTCCTCCGCTCACCTGCATCCTCCCTCCTGGACACCTTTACCCATATTTAGCCTTCACGTTGGAGACATTTCCCCACTGATCCCCGCCCATCGCCCCCCCCCCCCCCACCCCTCCTTCATCATCTCCCTCACCCCCTATCATCATCTCCCGACTCATTTTCCTCCCCCCCCCTCCTCCTCCCTCCTTCCTACCCTCTTACCCCTCTACCCTCTCCCTCCCCCTTCCTCCCTCCTTCCGTCTTACCCATTTCCCCTCCCCTCCCCCCCCCCTCTACAACGTCACCTTGCATTCGACACCTGCGTTTAATGAACCTTTTGGGTATTTCTTCCGCTCGATCGATTAACATCTATCGTAGTCCTTAAAATATCGACACAATCAGCATTCTCATATATCCTCAAGGAAAAAAAAATAAAATAGATGTTCCGTTGCCTCTTTGGCATTTTGTCTCTTGTTGCGTGAATTTACCTTTTATCCCAATTCTCTTTCTTATCCTTGCCTCCTACCCTTCCCTCCTAGCTCCTCCCCTATTATCCCTTTCCCTCCTCCTCCCTCCCTTCCGAACTCCTCGCTCCTCCCCTTCCTCCCTAGCCCCTCCCCCTTTCCCCCTTCCTTCCTACTCACTTCCAATCCAACTCCTCCCCCCTTTCCCCCTTTTCTCTCCTCCCCTTCCTTCCTAACCCATGCCCCCTTCCTCCCCCCCCTTTAATACCACCCACCTCCTCCCTAGCTCCTGACTCCTCCCTCCCTTTCTCCCTTCCTTCCTAACCCCTGCCCCCTCCCCCCCTTTCAATACCACCCACCTCCTTCCTAGCTCCTAACTCCTCCCTCCCTTTCCCCCTTCCCTCCTCCCCCTTCCTCCCTAGCTCCTCCCCCTTTCCCCTTCCCTCCTACCCACTTCCTCCCCAATTTCCCCCTCCCCTCCTCCCCTTCCTTCTCCCCCCTTCCCCCCCTCCCCAAGGATTGTCAAGACGCCCCCCCCGAGGCCCTGCACCTGCCCCCTCCATCCCTCTCAGCGGCAGCCCAGGAGAGAGAAAAAGTCTGCCACTCTTTGCTACATTTCGCCTTGTCACTTCTCATTAAAACTTTTCATAAGTGAGAAAGAAAGACGCAAAGGAAAAAAATATATATATTTATAAATATATATATTCAAGCAAAAACTCGTCCCTCTTTTTTTTTTTTTCTTCAAGAAAAAATCTCCACTTCTTTCCCAAATAGCGAACAGAGAAAGGTCAAGAAACCGCAACTGCTATGATACGGAGGAAAGGAAAAAAAAACAAAAAAAGAAAAACCTAAAAGAGAAAAATCATACACACATATATCGCGCCAAAGCAGCTAATCCCCGACCTTCCCACACACTCTACTTCGAGCACCCTGCAAATTCCTTAAGTTACTCCTATATCTCTTCCCATATATGTTCTCGGGCGATGCAAAAAGAAAACGCCATATTTTCACGGGCAACGCCTCTTGACAACACCCCTCCCCCCCCAGCATCCACCGGTGGTCGGCAGCCAATACCCTAAATACAACACTCGAAAGTAAACATTTCCCCTGCAGAGAAAAATATAAAGAGAAAAGCTGAACAGACAAGTATTTCATCTTCTCCCCATTCCTACCTTTCTTTTTCTTTGTCTTCTTCTCCTTCCTCTCCTTCTCCTTCTCCTTCTCCTTCTCCTTCTCCTTCTCCTTCTCCTCTTCCCTGACACGTTTCATCAATCTCGTGAGTTATAAAGTCTAGTTTGGCAAATATAATACGAAACCCTTTTTTAAAGATGTCCATTGTGTCGTAGATGATATCTGTGTATGAGCCATTATCATAAAAATATAACATATTTTCTAATTAATAATACATAGTAATGGTATTACTATACCACACTTAACATATGTTAATATCACCATGCTACTCATGCTTACCACTCCAAATTGCAAAACCTCACACAAGTTAGTTTCTTTCAGTACTTGTTTGTAGTCTTGTGAGTTCACTGTGATGCATGGACAGAAGCCGCAAATAAAAATGAAATAATTACTCAAACAAAAGCTGTAGCTGACGTGTTTCCATTCGATTAAATCGTGTAATTCGGTTAAAGGTATAATCGAAATGCGTCAAATACATATTTTGTTTTGTGAAATTATTCATTCTCGCTTATACTTATATCCATCAATAATATATGTTCACATACATACGCATATATATACATTATATATATATATATATATATATATATATATATATATATATATATATATATATATATATGTATGTATGTATATATATACTTATTGTGTATATGCATGTGCAAAATCTTTTCCGGGATTAGTTGTGAGAACGGGACGGCGTCTCCCAGTATTATGTATCGTTAACCTGAATTTGAGCGCCGAGGCCGTCAGTACAGATTACGGTTAGTGGCCACAACTGGAGTTCTGGATATGAATTAATCTCGTGTTTTCCTTTCTGTTGGTGTTATTGCCTCCCTTCTTCTTTGTTCCATTTCACTAGTTTCTTACACCACCACCTGCACACGCACGGCCTTCATGCTAACTCGAACAACGATTACAACCGTACTCTTTGCACCGATTGTTAGGGAGGCGAAGAACAGAGATCCGGGGACTCCGTTCTCCCATAACGACAAGGGTTATCCTCACGCCTTTCCAGCACAATCAACAATCCCGCCAAATACAGAAGAACAACATAACAATAACAAAAGCCTCCGTGCGAGTGACATGGGGGTTACACCTTTGAAAACGCCCGAGTTACGCGGAGTTTTAGCTCTGCAGGTTAAGGTGTTACTTCGAGTCTGCGCCACTTACCTCCTCTCTCGGTTTGTCCCTTAAAGCGTGAGTCTGTGTGTAATGGGCCTGCATGATGACCGCGCAAGCAGGCGCAAGCAGGCAGCGGCGAGGACTTCGCCTTGCTTAGCCAGAACCTGTTTGTCGAGTGCTGCCACTCAATACCGAGGTGTCATCATACAGGCTTTTTAGGCGTGCGTTTGTGTGAGTGAGCGAGGGGGGGGTGTGAGTGTACTTGCAGGATGCGATAATGGCATCAGTGCGGTTAGAATGCCTGTGTAGGTCAATACTTAGATGTATCTTTTATAGCTAAATGTCTATTAGTTAATATAAATAATGTATATGGATACAGGTATATACATACGTACGTACATACATTCATGCATACATACGTGCATATATACGTGTGTGTATGTTTGTTTGTATATATATATATATATATATATATATATATATATATATATATATATATATATATATATATATATATATATATATATATATATATATATATATATATAGAATATATATAGAATATATATAGAATATATATAGAATATATATAGAATATATATAGAATATATATAGAATATATATAGAATATATATAGAATATATATAGAATATATATAGAATATATATAGAATATATATAGAATATATATAGAATATAGAATATAGAATATATGTATATATTTATATATACATATATTTTCAATACATACATACATGAATACATACATACACACATAAGTGTGTGTTGCAAATGTGTGAGCATGTACATGTACATGTACATGTACGTGTACGTGTGCGTGTGCGTTGCGTGTGTGTTTGTGAGGGTGGGTTTGTTATAAGTGAATAAGTGAGTGAATGAGTTAGTGAGTGAGGAACAGAGAGAGAGAGAGAGAGAGAGAGAGAGAGAGAGAGAGAGAGAGAGAGAGAGAGAGAGAGAGAGAGAGAGAGAGAGAGAGAGAGAGAGAGAGGAGAGAGAGAGAGAGAGAGAGAGAGAGAGAGAGAGAGAGAGAGAGAGAGAGGAGAGAGAGAGAGAGAGAGAGAGAGCGGAGAGGGGGGAGGGCGAAAGAGGAGAGAAGAAGTCACAAAGGACTTTTTTTTAAATGATAAGAAACAAAGAGAAAGCTTGAGAAAAAATCGATAGCTAACAGATAAACGAAGGGAAAAAGAGACAAGTAAACGAAGTAAGAAACAAGAAGGGAAAAAAAGAGAGGAAAAGAAGTAACCACCGATAAAAATGGGGACAAGAGAGAGGAGGAAGGGCGAGACGGCGCCGACGAAGGTGTTAGCTCGTACAAAGTGGCCCGCCGACGCCCCTCCACCGCGACCGACCGAAGTTAGGACTCCCTCCGACGGGAGCTGAAGAGGGCGTGCGTGCGGACGGGCGTGAGGGCGTGCGTGCGTACTCACCAGCCTGCGGACGAGGGCGGGGCTGCGAAGTTTCTCCTGCTTCTGTGGTGGAGAGGAAGGGAGGGCGGGCCAAAGGTAAGCTGGGGGCGGTTCGCTACAGTATGGGTAAAGGGCATCGGCTTTACCAACGCCGCTCTTTACTACTACACTGGCTACACAGACGGATGGGGGGGAAGGGGGGAGGGGGAGAGGGGGGAGGATACACTGTCACCGGGGGTTAGTTAAAACGAAAGTAGAGGGGGGGGGGCTACCGTCTATTCTTAGGCCTGTAAAATGTTTGTTTTTAATACATAATTTGTCCTAAGAGACTCGGGGACAGCTGTTTTCCTTCCTTCGGGTTAGAAAAAGTGTCCTCGGCCAAGAACCGCACATTTTTTTTTTTAATAATTAGGCCTACAACCTTATTAAGCCTCGCACAGAGGAGCAGTTGCACCTCTTGGGGACGTAAGTGGACTCGTTTGGTTTGCTCATTAATCTCAATCAATGATTAGAGCTAATTGCACATCTCAAAAAGTTGCTGAAAGAAAAATAATGAATTAATAAGTACATCAAAGTAGCCCATTCTAATAAAAAAGTTTAAGGAGATTAAAGTTCATTTTCCAGATGTATGAATAAATACATAAACTGAACTTGGCTAATATTGACATAACAGTCTATACGTCCCAAAGAGGCTGCATCTTGCACCCGGACAAGGCTATTGAAAGCGGTCTCAATATGCACTACACTGCCTACGCTACTGAGAATAATAAATCAAGGTCAACTCTACGAACAAATCTTAAAACAAAGCTAAGATCACTGAAACTAAAAGCTAGTGCATACTATAACCTAATAATGCTTTAAAAAAAAATAATGGATTGTGCTTTAAAGTACTCTAGTCTAAACATAATCTACTGAAAAAAAAAATATGATTAAAGCTAATCTTGTTTGCAAAAATAAATAAATAATCCAAAGGCAGCGACGCACTGGGAAGGGAGGAAATCATTTCGCCGTAATCAAAGGCTACTTAAAGTCATGCAATCCAAAAACACAGGATCTGTCCAGTAGGAGGACCTGTTTGTGTCCACCCTTCCCACCTGCTCCGTCGCCTCTGAGGGCACGATACGTACATACACTCTATATACAAACACTGTACACGTTAATGAGGACCTCTAGACTAGCTGCAGGTCTACAAAAGCCAGAAAGGGAGAGTACGGGAACACAAAATGGGGGGAGTGGGGGAAGGGGAAAACCAGGAGGCGGCCTGCAGGTGTGTATGCGAAGGGCGACATCTCGATATCCCTTTCGTGTTGAGAGGTAGAAACTCCTGCCGGAGGCCGGTGTGTCAGAGTGTCTGTTGTTCTGGGTTCGTTGTTTATATTAAGTTGAATTAAAAATCATGCAAACCAAACGAGTTATATTTTAGGATAAAAAGAGAAAACACGAGGAAAAAAAACAGTAGACGAGAACGAGGGTGAGGTCCTCCTCGGGCGGGAGAACCCGAAGGATCAACTGAACGCACACTCATCGAGGACATGGCACTCCACGCTTATGACTAGGAAAATCCCGAACGAGGTGGTCATGCACGGGCGCGGAGGGCGGGCGTCGCAGCGGCCGCAGCTGGTCTCTCAGAGCCTCGCCGCCTCATGCGGGCCGCCACCGCCTTCGCCCGACACTACAAAGCCACTAAGTGAGAGCCTGGAGAGCGGGACTAGGGTTCTCTCCAGAGGTGGCACTCCAGGCGGTGAGACAAGTGTGGCACTCTGAAGCGTGCGTGTGAGAGGGCTGGATGCCTGGGGGGGGAGGGGCCAGTACTCACTCTCTCCGAGACACACGGGAAATCAACGACCTCCCTGTACTCGTACTTGGTGGCGTCCGTCACCCACCGGTACTCGGCGTCGTTCCTCTTGACGGGGCCTCCGGAGGGCGGCCGGTTGAAGGGGTCGTCTGCGGGCCCCTGGAACGAGCCGCCAGTCCAGGTCATGTCAGGTCAACAAGCACCGCTGCCTCGGGGATAACTTCATCAGATATATAGACATAAACCTAGTTCGCTACACGTCTATGTAGAAAAAATAGGAGTCCAGACAAAAAAAATCTATGTTTAGTACCGTAACTTAGAATACGCAAGGGAGCTACACGCGGGTGTGAAGAGTTAACGCACTCCAAATGGTTATTCCACTTAGACCAGTTACTCCTTTCACTGCTGCGCATCCACCTTCCTCAACTCGAGCATCCTGGAGAGGGCGTGGCATTCGGGAGGTGCTGGAGTTGCTCACAGAGACAAGAACACAAGGCGCAGAGGCCCCAGACAAACAGACACGGGACAACACGTATGATCAGCTGGCAGCGGGCGCCGCGGCACCTGACGAGGAGCGAGGGCGTGCAGGGTCGGAGAGGGAAGCTGATCCTCCTGACGGCGACGAGGAGACGCTCGGCACTTCGAAGGCTCCGGAACCTTGTGAAGAGGTTGGGTGTTACGGTGTTACACCAAGTGTTAGTTTCCACATCACACCAGCCACCAGATACGTGTTTGGGGTAGTAACATTCCTGCTACGCTAGAGCTGCAGTCTCGTTGACTATACTGCTAGATTATTCTCTGGCCCGGCTGGTGGGTCAGCGGGTCACGCTAGGGTCAGGGTCACTAGAACCGCGCCGCCCGCGCCTACCTTGCATCCACCCACGCCCACAAGACCGTGGGCGTGGGCGGCGAGGAGGGCGGCGCAACGGCGGCGACATTACTCACGTCCACTACGTGTCTGCGCTCGACGAAGACGCCACCACCTACCCGCGGCAGCACCGACTGTGTCACCACTGTCCCGCCGAAGACATAGGCCTCGGGGGGGAGCGGTGTGTCGGAATACCCTCGGGGCACGGGGGGGCGTGGCGGGGGCACAGCCAGAAGGTCGGTTTCGTCGGGCACCGGCGGGCGGGGCGGCGGCACCGACGGAGGGCGTGCTTGATCCTCCGGGCGAGGTGCCCCATTTGCGGACGCGCTCACCTGCAGCTGCCGTTCGGACACGGCGGCCGCCTTGTGCGTGTGCCGCTCGACGGTCGTCTTCGCCTTCTTGGACATGGCCGTCCCCTGCAGGATCTCCTCCTCCAGCTGGGCCAGCAGCGGGTCGTCGTCCCCCTTCTGCAACCACACTCTGTTACACATCGCCCCACGGCACTCCGCGGGGTCCGTTCGCGCACTCAGACACACGCACACGACATTCCGCTGCATCTACTAAACAGACAGACGTGCGCGCACACCACCGGGCAAGCAAAGGCTCGGGTGAGTGTCGCGGGGAAAGCACACACTCGCGGCGGCTTAAATCAGTAGCAAATTGGAAGCAGTTGTCAGAAATCACAAGTAAAAAAAAAAAAAGAAAAAAAATCAACCAAAGCTCGGGCGATGAGAAGCCCTAAGGAAAACAGACGAAGGCCCAAGCGAGGCGGCGACGCTGCCAGGCTACAACACTCCTGTGCTCGCCATCTGGGGGTTGGAAAGGTGAGTGACCGGGTGAGTCGTGAGTGAGTAACCAGGCGAGAGTGATCGGGGTTAGACGAAATGATGAATAGGGAAATTGGTGAATGCAGTTCCCTCTGTTAGAAGTAGAAGGGCATCCCAGGCCATGACCGGAGGATATTTTGATCACTATGTACACTTGGGGTTACTGAGGTGTGAGGGAGGTGAGTGTGTGTGCGATGGGCCCTCTACTCTAGGCTGGACGCTGGAGCACCAAACACCACAGACAGAAGCCACTGGACAGGAGGCGATGAGAAGCGCTCACGTTGCCATGACAACGTCGGACGGTTCCTGGGGGCCACGAAAGAAATAAAGGGGAGACACGAGAAGGAAGATGAATGAAGTGAATAAAAGAAAGGTTTTAGGAATCGAGCTCGCTACGCAAGACATAGGCCGGAAAATCGGGACACAAATCGGAGCGACGGCACTGGAGGTACGCCGTCCGTTCGTCCGTCCGTCCGTCCGTCCGTCCGTCTGAAATCCGAATTCAAGCTCCGTTGTTATAAAGAGGTTAGAAGACAAGAGATCAACCACGCCCGTTAGAGTGGTTAGAGGATTACATTTTAGTGTGAAGACCGTAGCGAGCATTCCGGAGCAGGATCGGAAAGGGAAGGGAGAGGCAGAGTGGGAAAGAGAGAAAGAATGAATGAATGAAAAGAAAGAAAACCGATGAGAGAGGAACCAGCGAAACACCCAAGGAACCGCCCGAGAGGAGGTCAAGGCGGACGTGGAGAATCACGGATGTTAATACTGTTACTTCTGCCGGAATTATTGTTGCTGTTGCTGTTGCAGGTGATGTGGCGTCTGCTAGCACGGCTGCTGTCCCTTTCCCCAGGCCAGGGGGCAGGGGGAGGGGGGAAGGGTGGTTGAGGGGGGAAGGGGAGGGGCATTCTGCTTCACACCTGCTGACGGAAAATGGGGGAAATGAAGAAACGGGTGATAATAGTGTGAGGAAGAAAAACCGGTCGCGCTTGTGGACTTTTTTCTGTGAGGGAGAGAGAGAAGGATAGAGAGGGAGAGTGAGGGAGAGAGAGGGAGGGAGGAGAGGAGAGGAGAGGAGAGAGGAGGGAGGGAGGAGAGGAGAGAGGAGAGAGAGAGAGAGAGAGAGAGAGAGAGAGAGAGAGAGAGAGAGAGAGAGAGAGAGAGAGAGAGAGAGAGAGAGAGAGAGAGAGAGAGAGAGAGAGAGAGGCAAAGAGAGAGAGAGGCAAAGAGAGAGAGAGAGGGAGAGAGAGAGGGAGAGAGAAAGGGAGAGAGAAAGGGAGAGGGAGAGAGAAAGAGAGAAAGAGAGAAAGAGAGAAAGAGAGAAGAGAGAGAGAGAGAGAGAGAGAGAGAGAGAGAGAGAGAGAGAGAGAGAGAGAGAGAGAGAGAGAGAGAGAGAGAGAGAGAGAGAGAAATAGAGAGAGAGAGAGAAATAGAGAGAGAGAGAGAGAAATAGAGAGAGAGAGAGAAATAGAGAGAGAGTGACAAATAGAGAGAGAGAGACAAATAGAGAGAGAGATACAAAGAGAGAGAGAGAGTGACAAATAGAGAGAGAGAGACAAATAGAGAGAGAGATACAAAGAGAGAGAGAGAGATACAAAGAGAGAGAAAGAGAGAGAGAGAGAGAGAGAGAGAGAGAGAGAGAGAGAGAGAGAGAGAGAGAGAGAGAGAGAGAGAGAGAGAGAGAGAGAGAGAGAGATACAAAGAGAGAGAGAGAGAGAGAGAGAGAGAGAGAGAGAGAGAGAGAGAGAGAGAGAGAGAGAGAGAGAGAGAGAGAGAGAGAGAGAGAGAGAGAGAGAGAGAGACTAAACCTTTTGGTGAATGACAGACTGAGAACTGCCCTAAACAAGGCACAGAAATCAATATCAGCATAAAATTTAAAAAGGAAGACAATTTAGCGAACTGGGAAGCACAGCAAATAACGATAAAAAAGCAGAAGATAATGAGCAATTTCAGAAAAAATAATAACAGAAGCAGATCAGCAGGTGTATGAGCAACCCCTCCCCCCCATCCCCAAACCCATACCTCTAGCCACCCACCCCCCTGGCGCTGCGGCAAGGACACTAGCGGGCACTGCTGGACGAGGCCTCCCCTCCGCCCGCCCGCCCGCCCTCGACGCCCACCCACGCCCACCCCGCCGCCCGCGCTCGCTCCGTCTTGGCCTACGCTCAGGTATGACTTCACGGCAAAATACTCGTCGTAAGTGCACGTGTCTGCTTTAGGTTAACTGAGGAATAAGGAGCAATCTGACCCCGGTGTAACGGAGCGCGTAGGAGGCCAAGAACAAGCGCAGCGCGGAGGGCGTGGCAAGGCGCGGGCGGCGCGCGGCGAGGGCGGCGGGCGCGGCGTCGGGGCGGGTGTGTGGGCGTGTCGTACCGTGAGTGTGCGGCCTCCTCCTGCGTTCTCACCGCCTCCCGCGGCCAGCCCCGCGGCGTGGGAGGGCGGGCCGGACTGCGGCTGCTGCGGTTTGTGGCGAACGAGCTCCACGACCTGCGCCACCTGCGAGGTCGCGCCGGGCTCCTCCTTTACCTTGAAGTCGCTGAGGGAGGCCATCAGGTCGTCCAGCTCCTTGGTGGCGGAGGAGGCCGACGGCTCCTGTGGGCGGGGGGAGGGCGCCGGCCCGGCCACCGCCGTGTACGCCTGCGGCTGCGAGCTCGTCGACGAGCGGATCTCGTGGTGCACGGTGCGCCGCTCCACCACCTCGCTGCAGAAGGGGAAGCGGAGAGGGATTGTAAGTATGAGGGGAACGTGATGGAAAGGCGGCAATGATATAATCAACTTTACTTCATGACAGACGCTCTTCTCAAGGCAGCCTCACAGGCTCCTTCTCTGTCTCTGTCTCTGTTTGTCTGTCTGTCTGTCTGTCTGTTTGTCTGTCTCTACAACTTTGTCTTTACATCTTTCTATATCCCTTCTCCCCTCCCTCTCCCTTCCTTTGTTCCTCCCCCTCTCCCTCTCCCCTCTTTCTCTCCCTTCTCATCCCCTCCCCAATTCCTCTCCATCTCCCTTCTTGCCCTCTAGCTCTCGCCTCCTTCTTCTTCTCCCCATCCTCACCCCTCTCCTCCACCCTCCAATCTCCCTCCTTCTCCCTTCTTGCCCATTCCCTCTTTCCCTCTTGCCCATTCCCACTTCTCTCCATCTCTCCTCCATCCCACCTTCGCCCGTCACTTGGGAGCTTTGCCCAATCCATCAACATTAATTTGCATTTAGCTGAAGAATTTCCTTTGCGTGAAATTCGATACTGGATGTGTTTATGCGCCAGTGTGTGTTGGCGCTTTGGAGGCAGTTGAGGAGCGCGTCTTGTGAGTGTAAGTGTGGGATAGATAGACAGATATTCTTGTGAGTGTGAGATAGAGAGATAGACAGAGAGATAGATCGATAGATAGATAGAGAAAGATAAATAGATAGATAGATAGATAGATAGACAGAGAGAGAGAGAGAGAGGTAAACACAGATATAAAGATAGAGATAGATATAAAAACAGATATAGAAATATAGATAGATAGACAGACAGATAGTGAGAGAGAGAGAGAGAGAGAGAGAGATACACATCTGTGTGTGAGTCTGAGTGTGAGTGTACACATCTGTGTGAGTGTATCAGTGAGTATATAAGTAGACGACTGACCGACTGAGTGTAGATATGAGCATGATCGTGCGCGTGCGTGTGAATACGTACGTGCGTGCGCCCCCCCCCCCTTCCCCCTTTTCCTCGAGCGCACCTGTCACGTCAGTTAAACTTGGCAGTTTTGGCGTTAAATCTTCCTTAGCGTTATGACTGGCGCGACGTTAGGCATATTAAACGGTTCTCACGTTCGTTAATTAATAATCGGATGGCGGCGGAGATACGAAAATTCACGAGAAAGAAATGGTAGAAAAAAGGTAAAACTGTTGAAAATTAATTTGTACCCTACGTGCGTGCCTTTAACGGTAACCAAAACTTATTTTTTCCGTTCATATGTAATCCCAAATTCCTTCAATTACCTACAAATAGGGGGAGGAAGGGAGGCAGGGACGGTGGGTGGGTGAGAGAGTGAGTGAGTGAGTGAGTGAGTGAGTGAGTGAGTGAGTGAGTGAGAGAGAGAGAGAGAGAGAGAGAGAGAGAGAGAGAGAGAGAGAGAGAGAGAGAGAGAGAGAGAGAGAGAGAGAGAGACAGAGAGAGAGAGACAGAGAGAGAGACAGAGAGAGAGACAGAGAGAGAGACAGAGAGACAGAGACAGAGACAGAGATAAGGATAGATATAGAGATAGAGATAGAGACAGAGACAGAGACAGATAGACAGACAGAGACAGACAGAGATAAGGATAGAGATAGAGAGAGAGAGAGAGAGAGAGAGAGAGAGAGAGAGAGAGAGAGAGAGAGAGAGAGAGAGAGAGAGAGAGAGAGAGAGAGAGAGAGAGAGAGAGAGACAGACAGACAGACCGGGAGACAGACCGAGAGAGAGAGACCGAGAGAGAGATCGAGAGACCCCGAGAGAGAGACCGAGAATCCCCGAGAGAGAGAGACCCCGAGAGAGAGACCGAGAGAGAGAGAAAGAGAAACCGAGAGAACGAAAATAGAAAAAGCCAAACCTATACCCCATGCAAACGGATTAAGAGACAAAGGCACGGGGAAAGACCAAACCCCAAAAATAAACAAACAGACAAATAAATAAATAAGCAAATAAAAATAAAAAAAACAACTGAAACAGGGTACACCTTCACAAGAAAAGGGTATGCAACAAGCTTTATATAGAGACACTAAACTCGGAACAGGTGTTACACTCAGTACAGGTGAGAGGGGGGGGAGGGGGGGAGGTGGAGGAGGAAGGAGGAAGGAGAAAGGGAGAAGGAGGAAGGAGAAAGAGAGAAGGAGGAAGAGATAAGGAGGAAGGGGAGAGAGAGAAGGGGGGAGGAAGAAGGAAAGGAGGAGGAAGGGGGAAGGGAGAAGGAGGAAGGAGGAAGAGAGAAGGAGGAAGAGAGAAGGAGGAAGGAGGTAGGAGGAAGGGAGAAGCAGGAAGGGGGAAGAGAGAAGGAGAGGAGGAGGAAGGGGGAAGGGAAAAGGTGGAGGGGCAGGTGAAGAACGGAAGAGGGAAAGGGAATTAGAAAATAAAGGGGAAAGAGGAAAGGAGAAGGAAGAAAGGAGAAGAGGGAGAAGGGAGAAAGGGGGGGGGGGACTGAGTTAAAGGGAAATTCCGAACTACTACTTCAAGCTGCCTAAATTAATCCCGAGCAGCAACGCCTTTGGTGATCTCGTGTGCAAGAAATAATTCAAACAATGATTTAATTAAATTAGGCAAATACGACGACGAAAAAAAAAATATGAACACAAAAAAATGACAACCCAAATTAACGAAACAAAGGTAAGTGAAGAGAAGAGAAGAAAGAGAAGAAAACAAGAGAAAAAAAAGGAGAGAAAAGAAAGGTAAAAGAAGAAAAAAGGAGAGAGACAGAGAGATAGGGGAAAAAATAAAAGCTTGCAAAAGAATGTTGACATGACACATGACGTATGAAATATGACGCAAGGCAGGCTGGGGACCTGTGACTGAGCGACCCGACAGCCAGCCGGGGTCGAGGGGGAGAAATGGGGAGACATGAGAAAGAAAATGGGGAAGTAGGGAGACATGAGAGGGAAAGTCGAGAAATGGGGAGACATGAGAAGGAAAGTCGAGAAATAGGGAGACATGAGGAGAAAATTCCAAATAGGGAGACATGAGAGGGAAAGTCGAGAAATGGGGAGACATGAGAAAGAAAATGGGGAAGTAGGGAGACATGAGAGGGAAAGTCGGGAAATGGGAAGGCATGAGAAGGAAAGTCGAGAAATAGGGAGACATGAGAAGGAAAGTCGAGAAATAGGGAGACATGAGGAGAAAAGTCGCGAAATGGGGAGACATGAGAAAGAAAATGGAGAAATAGGGAGACATGAGAGGGAAAGTCGCGAAATGGGGAGACATGAGAAAGAAAATGGAGAAATAGGGAGACATGAGAGGGAAAGTCGCGAAATGGGGAGACATGAGAAAGAAAATGGAGAAATAGGGAGACATGAGAGGGAAAGTCGCGAAATGGGGAGAAATGGGAATTAGAAAATAATGGGGAAATGGAGAGAAAGGGGGCGAATGAGAAGAAATTAAGCATGGGAAGAAATGGGGAAATGGCAAGAAATGGGGGGAAAAGGAAGAAAAGGGAAGAAATGGGAGGAAAACTGGAGAAACAGGAAGACTTTGGAAACAAATGGGGAGAAAAGGGGAGAAATGGGAAGAAATGGGGAACCAGGAAGAAATGAGAAGAAATAAGAAGAAACGGGGAAAGAAAAGAGGAGAAAAAGGGAAGAAAAGAGAGAAGAGCTTACGAACAGAAAGGGGGAGCTGAAGGAGAAGAGAAAAGACACAGAAGACCTTAGCAGAAAAAGTCGAAAAAAAAAAGACACTGAAAAATATCCATCCAATATTCGCGGCATAAAATAGCGCCACGGGGCTCGCAAATCCCGGATACAGAGCATCACAAAGCGTCGCAAATCATCCCGCGCATAAGCATAAAACGCAAGACCGTTGCTCCGTCCAATTGCACAAGCATGTTTCACGTTGCAAGTATATCGCTAAAACATATCTTGGCATCCGGTCGGGGCTGTTCCTCCCCATCTGTTTCGTCACTTCAGAGAATAAAGACACATATGCATCTATATACATATACATATACATATATATACATATATATATATATTTATATATACATATATATATACATACATATATATATACATATACATATACATATACATATACATATACATATACATATACATATACATATACATATACATACACATACACATATACATATACATATATATATGCATACATACATACAGGTGTATATACTAGTATGTATATATGTAAACACACAAACAATCATATATGTATACATAGACAGGCACACTCACACTCACTCTTATTCTCACTCATACTCATATTCATACTCATACTCATACTCATACTCATACTCATACTCATACACACACACACACACACACACACACACACACACACACACACACACACACACACACACACACACACACACACACACACACTTGGACATCCTCGACACCTAACAAACTAGCCAACAAAACCACTTAACCTAAATAAAAATTAAAAGAAAAAAAAATAGGAGAAAAATCCCCCCCCCCCTGCCGCACAAAGTAAAAGAAAAAAAAAAACAATAAAAAAACAATAATTAACAAAAAACGAACACTTAAAAATGCTAATCGAACCCATCCGAAAGCGATCCCACAAAAAAACCGGCCACGACTTCGACCAAAAAAAAAAAAAAAAAAAAAAAAAAAAAAAAAAAAAACACACACACAAAAAAAAAAAAAAACACAGACAACTGAGCAATGTGCGTTCGAATCTCAAAATAAACAAGGGCGATACAACAACAACAGCATTCCGAACGCACTTTCCTCCCCTCCCCCCCCCCCCTCCACCACCCCTACCGCCCAAAGCCCCGGCGCCTTTGGCAACGAAACGGCCCGATGGGAGGAAATTCCCCCTGAAATCAGAGGCCGATTAAGAACGGAAAGCCCCCCCCCTCCCCCTCCCCCTCCCTCCTTCCCTCCCTCCCTCCTTTTCTCCTTTCCTCTTTCTTCCTTCCTTCCCTCTTCTTCCTTTCCTTCTTTCTTTCTTTCTTCCTTCCTCTCTCCTCGCTCGACATAGGAGGCGAAATAAGGCTA